TTTACCCTCCCTCCTCCACTCCCTTTCTCTCCCACGCCCTCCTCTTCACTTTCAGGAGCGGCATGCCAGATCCGTCGTTGCTGCACGCGCCGCCCTGGAGAAGAAGGAAATGCGGGTCAAACAGGCCATTGTGGACCGGTTTGCCGATCAAGTCACAATACACGGTGGGTCATCTTCTTCCTCTTCCTCGAGCAAGCGTCCACCTATGCCCCTTCCCACCCTCCCCAAGAATGTGGAGAGCAAATTGCGCTTTCGTGAGGGAGTGGTGGTGGCCAGCAAGGGAGAAAAGTACGTGGTGGAAAAATTGACGCCGGATTGGGATGGGGGGAGTCGGGGGAAAGTCAAGACAAAGGGCAAGCGGGGCCCGGGCTTCGTGTGATATACACAGTAGGTATGAGTAAACCTGCGTTTGCAGGAAGTTTATGGAGATTCACCATTAAGGTCCTGTAGACAAGCAAGTATCAATATCTGTGGCCATCATCCTGGTTGATCATCTCGATCGGATGGTCCACGAGGTTCTACTTTATTTTTTGAGTCGTTGCCCTGTGTTTCCTCTTGCTCTATCTTCGTCTTTGAAGGCCATATAGGGGTATGAAGCTGAGGCACTGACTCTCCTCTCCATCTCTTATCACGCACATGGCCGCACACGCATACAGACATACTCCGTTTTTGGCTTTTTTTGACCTCATACAGTCTTCAGAGCCATGGGCATGAAGAATATTTATGCCCGTGTTCATCGTGTGGAGGCTTTTCCTTTGTTGACGGCTGTTTCATAAGGTAACGTGCACCTAGCATCACGTACACACATGGAGGATAGAGTTCGATAACCTTTCCCAAGCTGTAGCTTAAAAGACGAAGGCTCGACCGGTTTTCTTGCGACTCATTTACCTTCCTACGCGCCAAACCTCCTCCCTCTTAATTTGAAAGTAACGTTCCTTGTGCCTTTCGGCGGCTTTTCTGGCCTTATTGCCATGCCATGTCTGTTCACGTCCACCATCGTCTTTATTCCCATCCAAATATGCGGCGTTCCTTCTGATCACGTATGAGGCTTCAAAATATAATGGAATAAGTGGCAAATGGCTGTATGTTGCACCAAAGTTCCTCATTATCTCAAACGAGCGAATCTCTCGCTTAAGAACGAAGGCGACTCATCAAATAGCAATTACGTTTACAGTAAAGTTGTGATAGCTTCTCTTACTCTCTTGAGCCTTTTTTTATCTCCTGACGTGCATAGGCATGGTTGCAAATGAGTCTGGTTTTCCAAGACAACCCCGGGGACGACTCTTACAAAGACGCGCGAATGAGGAGACGGTAGAGGTGGAACACACACACAAGCCAGTGCTTCGAGGGACCTTTCCGTGGAAATCCTCGTTGCCCATGGGCGTAAAATTGGAAGAGGAAAGGACGAGGAAGGATGGATTACGAAAGAGGGCAGAGAAGGTCATGCCGCCCATCCACTCGCGCCGGGCAATGGCGCTTATCTCTGTTGAGGTGCCCGATAGCAGCGGACGGGGACCAAGAAGGGAAGAAGAAAGAAGAGATCCTTCTTCTACGAGAAGGAAACGCAAAAGGAATGAAGCTCTCCCGCTGCATCGGAGTGCCGCCTACAGCATGCCCCTGCTTGCCGCCCCACGGAGAGCGGGGGAGATCAAAACAAACCAAGGCGGCGAAGGGGGTGAAGAATGCGATGGAAAGGAAAACAAGGAGGAGGAGGACGGGGCGCTGGACCAGATTCTACGCGGGAATCTGAGCGTCTCGGACGCCCGTGAATTGCTGGGTTTGCCAGGCCGTGCCGACCATGGCAGCCGCGGGCGAGGCGACCGCTCTAGCACGCCCCATCTGAGCCGACTCTGCTGCGGAGACAGTACCGCCAAAGAAGACTTGCCTCCGCTCCTGAGCATGGAAGAGCAGATTTCTCTGCTGGAAGAAGCGAGGGAAGCGGGGGCTGGGGAGGTAGGGGCGGTAGGTAGCGCATCCCGACGCAAGCATGCTCTGGCGTTGCTGACATGGGCCGTGGAGGCGGCTACAGTATGGCGAGCACGGGCCCTGCGGCGACAGCGGCCACCACCTCTCGAGCCGATGCACGCCCAAGGGGAAGGGAAGGAGGGAGGGGGAGGAACCACTCCCTCGAAAGCCTCCCAGCCTTGCGCGTCCCTCCCTCCCTTCCTCACTTTGTCTACCCCCACCTCCCTGATCCCGACGGCAAAGCTCGACAAACTCGTGCGCGTAGGGCCCGGCCTCGTGCAACACGCCGACCGCACATTCCTGGCCGCTGCCAGCCCTCCTTGCTCCTCTTTCTGCCCCCTGGAAACACTCTTGTCAAGCGTCCAGAGCCTGTGGGCGGCGTACAAGGCGTGGTGCGTCCGCGCAGGTCCCCTGGCCAGCCTGAAAAAAGCGACCCGGACGAAGGCTTTGGCGAAGGTCCCCTGGCGCTTGCTGGAGGCTGGGATGGAGGGCGGAATGGAGGACGGGGTGGAGGCAGGGGAAGTCTTCGCCCTGCTCGACGTGCCTGGTCGGGCGGGGATGATCGCGCTCAGACAGGAAGCAGACACCTGGCTCCGGATGGGACGGAGGTGCTGGGGTCGGTCCAAGCCGGATGACGTCATTTCCCTCAAGTCCTGGAAAGACGCCGACGCCCCCCCCGCCCCCGGATCCGGCGTCAGCAAACGGAGGATGTTGGAGTTCGTGAACGCTTCGTACCAACTTTGGTTGGAAGAGGAGATGGCGCCCGTGGAAGTGCCCGGGAAGACGTCCATGGAGTGGCTGTGGCGGGTGACGGATTGGGCCCGGCACGTATTGGAGAAAGTCGGGAAAACTGGGGTGGAAATGGGGCCGCCCTTGTCCCTGTCCCTGCGCGCGGACGACTATGAGCGGTTGCTAAAGCGGGATTGGAAGGAAGGGGTGGTGGAGCCGGACGGAGTGGCGGAGGGATGGAGGGAGGGCTTGAGGGAGGAAGGGTACGACGTGGTGGTGTCGGTGACCGAGGGCGGGAAGGAGGGCGGGGTGAGGAAGCCTTTCGATTTGCGCCGTTGGACGGACCTGGTCGATGCGGACTCGGGGGCGTGGATCCAGGCGCTGGGGGAGGGCGGGCGTGAGGACGCGGTGGAGGTCGAGGTGGAGGTCCAGGTCAAGGGCTTCCGCGGCCGGGAGGTTCTGGCGGCCTTGCGGTTGTATCGAAGCATGAAACGATGGGTGCTATTGGCACACAAGTGGAGGCTGACGGTCCAGCATCTGCTGGGAGGCGGGGCAGGCGGTCTCTCCCCCGGGGCCCAGGACGTGGCGGCCCTCTACCATATGGGCCACGCCTTGGGGTCGGAGACGCAGGGCGTCCTGGAGGAGATGATGGCCGTGCTGTGTTCCAGGTATCTTTCCGGGACCGAAAAGGCCGCTCTGGCGGGCTTGGTACCCTCCCTCGCGGAATCCTTGGGGGTTGGGCCCGTGGAGACGTCCCGGGCCTTGGCGAAGGGGAGGGCGGGGGGAAGGGCGGGGCGGTGGAGCTGGGCGTGTGGTGAGGAGCAGGCGGGGCAGGGGAAGACGCAGGGAGGGAGGAAGAAGGCGAAGACCCCGAGGAAGGAGGAGGAGGACGAGGAGATAGACAAAGAGGAGGAGGGCATGGGCGTGGAGGAGGAGGAGGAGGAGGAAGAGGAAGAGGAGGAGGAGGAAGAGGAGGGGAAACGGCGGGCACAGGTAGAGAGCGCGCGGAGAAAACGTGGCTTACGGGGAGGACAAAGACGCGAGGCGGAGGCGAAGGGGAGGGGCGCTCTGAGAGAGGGCGTGGAGGTGGGAGGGGTCAGTAGGGAAGGAGGGAGGAAACGAAGCCGGCGACACAGCGTGGGCTCCTCTTCCTCCCGCCATGCTTCCTCCATGCCCCTTGGCGCTTCCTCCTTGGCACGCGTTCCCGGAGGCGCCAAAGGAAGGAAGA